GGCCCGTCTTGTTTTATTTCGCCCGCTCGCATTAAATTTGGAGTCTGCAGAGGATGTCATCCATAAAATTTACTTGCTGTGGCCTTATGCATTACAGATGGTGTTTTTCACATACATGGTACTTCTATTATCCAAAATATAACATTTCTGTTGTTTCGTCTTTTTTGACTTGTGACCTCTCCAGGTTAAATTGTACAAATGAAAGACAAGAGAAGGATTTTCAATACCATACCATGTCAACTGGTATCACGTTTTCATATGTTTATCCAGTAGAAATTTTCTATTTGAAAATTGGCTGAGTTTAGTATTTTTGGGTATCTTTTTTTTCGTTGTTAGATTTATGAATCAGATTGCCCAGCCTAGAAAACAGAGGACATAAGTGTCAAGACGTGGAAAGGTTGATAATATATATATCTGACTGTGAATTAAAGTAATCAAGTTGGATATTCAAGAAAGCTCATTACAAGGGGATCGTAAACGTTATACGGGATTCTATCAAAAATGTGAAAAAATAGACCACTCCGAAATTGCAAAACAATACATTTCTCATCAGCATATTAAGATAGTAAGTACTCTCATTTTCCAAATTAAAGGTTATCTACTAAATGCCGATTTTATGTAGGCATTTTGGATTTTATAAGTTCATATATTGACAACTTTGTATGCAGTTTAGAAAGATGATAATAGTGGTGTCTATGCTGTTTATATTGCTTTTCGATCTTGACGTTTTTAGAATAGGTGAGTTTTTTGTAATGAATGAATGAATGAATGAATGAATGAATGAATGAAAGACCTTTATTGTACATTTGTGCTCTAACAAGCTAAGTACAGGTCATGAATAGACAAGGAAAAGGATACAGCAATGATACTTAAACTATACATACTAATGTGGTCTACTATTTACATGTTCAATTTCTTCTCGCTTCTTGACGCAGTTATAGATGTACGAGCATATAGAGCTAGTGATTCAAAATCATATCCAGTTGCTTGAGTAACTGCTTTTTGGCCTAGTGATACATGGTTTGTCAAGTTTCATAAGAAATACGAATTTTTCTGATTCATTTAAATGTCCAAAGCTGGGGAACGTATCTATTATATAAGAATATAGGGAATCTCTCTCATTACTATACAATAATCTCCTACTCCTGATGAACAGATGTACACGAGAACTTTATCCGTAGACGGCTGGACACCAGGAATGTTATGCATACTGAACTGCACACCTGCATAGAGCCCGACCGGCCGCCATTGTGTAACAGTAATGACCCTTGTCATGCCTTGCCTTTGTCACACACAAAGCACTTCAAACCAGAAACTGTTCTCCAAACTCCCATAAAAATGTTACAGCGTCCGCACCGCACTGTCAACAACACGCTTGCTTCCTAGCTTTTTGAGAATCGAACCCGAAACTTTTGGTTTATCCCCCAGCTCGGTTGTGTAGTTAGTGGTAGATGCCAAGTTTGCAGAGCGATAACACAGACGTTACGCCGGCTAAGTGAGGACCTGATAGAGACGAAATGAGCAAATCAGACGTGTACAAAGAGTGGAGAAAGAAAAAGAGAGACGTACAAAGTAGTTGAGGGATAATTGAATCAGGACCGGGATGGACTGCCGTTCCTATTGTGTGAAAGTGAGACTAATGAAATTAAACCATAATGGCCGGTTCATGCGGACCCGTTATTGAAACGTAAGATAGCCTGCCTTGCCTCTTGTGAAAAATAGCAGCTCGATTTGGAGTTACAGTTTCAGAAAGTTCGCCGCCGCGTCACGGCTTAATGCAGTAGCAATGGGGCACAAAGGGTGCTAACAACCGTGTTGTGAGGCAGTGCCTTTGATTTGGGCTCCTATGGAGAGGGGGCAGGGCAGTGGGAGGTGCCGGGGGGAGCTCACAGGCACCGCCGAGACCCCAGCTGACCGCTGCCGCTTCACCCGACTTTGTCTCGTCTCTGCCTCTTTATCTACACCAAAAGTCACTTGTCAAAGCTGTCGTTTCCACATTGCGATACCCAACAATGGTATACTTTTCACTCAGAAACGAGCGGGCTAACAAACACAATGTTCGTTTTGTTGACTTGGTAATGCGAGATGCCAATGATACGTCTGTCCCAAAAACAATTTTTCCTCCTCTCTCTTCAACAATGGTAAAATACAGCCCTTTTTCGTCAACTCACCTCGTTAGAGGAAAATTTCTTCATCAGACGGTCTTTACAAGATGGTGGTGGACATCTTAAGTCGAACAAATTGAAACATCTCAACCTTTTCTCTGCGTTTCCTTTTTCTCGCCGTGGTTGGTTGGCCACACTGAGGCCTGTGGTTAGTCCAGTATGTGACAAGAATTGTTCAGAAGGTGAGGCGAAAAGCCGGAGTGCCAACTGCTGATGTGTTCTCATGAACCATTTTTACTTTTCCACTGAAAAAGGAGAGTTAAGAATATATATGTAACTAGAAAAAATAAGCACTATGAGAGGTGGTAAAATGTTGTAATATCATAATCAAATTTTTGGCATAGAAAATAAGAAAATGTGATGATAGAAAGTTCATAAAAGTACATTTGTACGCCAGCATTCACAAACGATTTTTTTCTTTTGATTTGATTTTTTTTGCAAGAGCTCGTCATAAGTAGTTGTTAATAGTGTTGCGGCACACATGTCAGATAATTATCGTATAATAACCCATAACCAAGCTGGCAGGGCTCTTCTTGCATCTAAAACGAAAACAGACAGGCGTGAAGCTAACAAATTTGATTAAACCCTCCACGCCGTAACGCGAGCCACCAGCCTGTAATTTCAGTTGAAGAATGGAAAATCATCCCCATAATTTCGGCAGGCTATCGTGTTACGGCTTCATGATTGCCGTCCTCGGGTAACTAGTGTCAGGGGACGTGTTCCGGCTTCTAGGCGCTGAGTAAAACACTTCAATCGCCTTTCTCCGCCATCTGGTATTTTATTTCTGGTCTTTTCTGATTAAGTTTCTGGCAATCGCCATTGCCGCCATTCTCAAGAGGTTGTTGAAGTAGCACAACAAGCAGGAGAAAATATCTCTTTTAGATGATTCGCTTTTTCTTTGGGAAGCGTTTTGAAGCGTTTAACCTCCATTTCCCAGAGGTTTTTAAGGGTCAACCCTGGGAGTGACCTCCAGCCGGATGGCGAGTGGTCAGTTGGGCTGTCCAGGTGTCATGGGGGCCCAGGGGTCATTCATCACCTGGTAAATAGGCTAGTGGATGTCCGGAGCGGAACTGATCGGGAAAGTGACCCCAGACCACGGAGGTCCAAAAGAAAAACCGTTACTTGGATCTCGTGAATAATGCTTCTAAAATAAGAAAGTTTATTGCGACTCCTTGCCCGAGGGCTAATTGGTAGTTACAAACAACATGAGAAAGAAAATACAGTGGTATGTGTGACTATATCTACGTCTAGCATTATACTATATTCTACAACATACATGGTACTAGTTTTACTGGGTTTGACTTCTTCTTTTTTAGGCAATGGAAGACGAATTTACCCACTTCTATAACATGTGGGTTCTTTGATAGTAAAATTGTCTAAAACGTTTGTCCGTTCCCTCCGTGTACGTGGCTAGAAACATGTTTTATTGCTCCACGGTTTGCAAACATTGGTGAAAATTTTAAAACAATTATAATCTTACTTAAAGTATAGCATAGTTGTAATCCACAAATAGGTAACCTTGACACTTTATCTACCATCCATAGAAAAAGGAAAAAAAAACATCATTGAGAAATAACTAGTAATAAAGGTAAGCAAAAATTATCATAAAGAATCTGTCTGCTCAAATACATACACATATAATGAATTATATACTTGCTCGACAACCGCGCGGGTACAAAACTAGCTTTATGTCTGGATGATTTGTCCCGCTTACATCAACAATATCAAGATTCTCAGGAATAACAACTTGATACATCAAAACTGCATAGATGCTAAAAATCCAGAAAAACTGATCGTAACTCTGTTGATTTCTTGTTTAAATCTTGTTCACACTTTCTCCTTCCTGACAGTATCCCATACTAGGCCCAGGCTGTGTTTATTTTTATCACTTGTTGATAGACGCTGGGTGGGGGGGGCGGACTTGTTGAAAGCCTGACCAGGTCTATCTGTGTTTGACAAACCGCTCTGGGACTAACTGTCAAAACAGACGTACCGACAACATCAGCGCGGACAATCTGGTGTTCTCTATCGTATTGACTTTAGATGATCGCAGATTTCAGATCCCATAGGAATAAAAAGATGCTGAAACGTTTTGCTCACTAGCGAAAAATATACCCCCCCTCCCTTTTTACAGCAAGGTAGATTATAGTCCTCTGAAGAACTGCTAACTACACCGCTACAAAAAGGGAAACAATGAACAATAGAAACAAGAAAATAGTTCAAGTCTAGTTGGTTGAGAGAGACAATTTTAGACCCGGAAATGATATCTTGAATATCATCGACGTATCCATATACAGGCCCTATATGCTTCTGGTGTACGTGTAGCTTAGGTATTATTTCATTCATGTTTCCTCTCCTAATTTTGCTATATTACTCATTCATTCTCTCTGACAGAACTTTCCATTAAAGGCACCCAATGCATTTCAGGCTGCAAAACAAAAAGTATTCTGGCAGGAAATTTGGCCGACATTAACATTTACTGCCATTATTTCTGAGCACGTTTTTGTCATCATTTCATACTTGAAGCATTTGAAATAGCCCCAAACAAGTGTTTGTTTATTTTTTGGCACCACCAATAAATAGCTAGAACCTATGGTACAAAACAAGCAAAGTTTTTCCTTCAGTGACATCGCATTGTTGTCTCGTGGATATCAGTATGCTTTGGGATAGGATTGGTCCAACTTCATACACTAAAAGAATGACCAGAATTTTTTGTGTGGAAAATCCAGATTTCCAGCCCTGAAATTGCATTGAATGGCTTTAAAATCTGCCAGAGTTCCATGTTATTCACTTCAATATATTTGGTGTCATTGATTTTATTATCTATCTTTCCAGATAAAGATCTGGTTCCAAAACCGCCGCACAAAGTGGAAGCGGAAGTTCACCAATGATCTAGAACTGATGGCTCACCAACACTACGCCTCCATGGGCCTGTACAACACTCCACATCCATGGTACTTCACTCAGAGATATCATCATCCGGGATATTACAACTTCCCGTCGTGCCCCGCGCCGTCTCAGTACCCAAGATACCCCGCGGCGTTGGTCGCCCACCTCCCCCCTGCGGCTGCGCAGAACCTACATGCTGCCAATATGAAATTACAAGGGAAACCGTTATGACTTTACAAATGATAACAGTGTTCTCCTTCTCAACGCTCTTGTTTCGTAATAAAACATGAGAATGCCATTCACCAATTTCACACTTCCCATAATGCCTAGTAAAGATCACGGATATGACCTATGACCAACCCTCCCCCCTTTCTCGATGTAATATTTCCAACAAGTTCTATCGACAAACTGGTCAACGATATTGTTTTGAATTATTTATCCAGTATAGATCTAAAGCGCATGCCATAATTGCATTTTTGTTGGAATTAGAGAAAATGATGTGCCTTCTATCGCTCCACCTTCTACCGAAGACTCTCCTACTCGCACGGTCGCATTACGTATATCCCTTCTTACGCCATATCCCATGGCCATCCATATCCGCGATCTTTACTTGGCATTATGGGAAGTGTGAAATTGGTGAATGGGTCGCTTCAATATAGTTTAATATTAAGTGTCCAGATCCTTTAAACGAAAACGAGAATAAGGATAGTGTGGTGTGTGGTCTTGTTATCATTTAGGGGCCAAAACTGTTATCGCCATTAAGATACTTCCATGCAATTGGAGCTTTTTATGATCAGAACACAAGCATAGCGGTCATTCCGGAATGCGACAGTTGTGTAGTTATCTAACAACTCAATCGTTATGTAGATATTGTTTCACTTTTTTCTGCAGGCGATTCGTACATCATTATTGCATTGAATTTTACTATCTTCAGTTTTTAAGATGAATAAATGGATCATGATAATAATGATGTTGTTATCTATGGCATATAAATCCCTTGATATTGAACAAAGTCTGAAATACGGAAGAGTTATTGATATCACCGTACCATATTCATCTTCTGTTAGTATTATATTTGTATCTGGATGCTGTTGAAAAGATACAATTTCTATCTTCATAAAATGTACAGATATTGCACAAATATTCTTAGTATGACAATGAATTTGATAGCTGATTGCAGGCGAGTTAAGGTGAAATTTAACCAAACGGATGTGTGTTCATATGATACACCTAGCGGAACTGAGCTCTTCCAAACACGAGCAATTAAAACGATATTCACCGCATGGCTCCGAGCTACATGGGGTGTTATTGTTGTCTGATAATGGCTTTGAAAAATTGTCATAATTTTGTCGTTGCCGAAGGGGATATGATACAATGACTACTCAATCCACAACGACAATACTTATGCTGTCCCTGATGCTTACCAAATTATAGGTTTTATAACTGAGTACATATTAGAGCAATTTGTCGATGGCCACACTTATGGTCTTTTATGTTTGAAGGTGCCAATGTCTACATGATGTATCGAAGATGAACTATTGCTATCAATGCATTGTCTCTTAATTTACTTGACGCTGACATTCGAAATAAATGGGACACGCTCTTATTTCTTGCTGCAGGCTACATATTTGAGTGATATGTCTTCGCAATAATGTTGCAATTACAAGTTCGCGTTCTGAGCCCTCAGGGCGGATTGATACGCGACTCCCAGAGATGATGATGTTACTTGTGATATTTTACTTTTCCAAATAAGTCTTAGTCTTATCTGTGGATGGATCTGCGCGACACCACTTCCTCGGGACAAGAGATCTTAATTGTGCGGAGCAAACATGTGTAAGAATGATCCAATCGCGAAGCTTGCCCGTGCAGGGTGATTCATCAAACCTGTCGCCCACGGTAGAATATCTCGTGTTTTTGGACAACTGTTTGACCCGAGCAATCTACTTCAACGCTTGTGGAATACTAATAAACGGAAACTTTTCTTTCAACGTAATTTAAAGGCATCCGATGCCATTTTTAGGTCTTGGAAACCTGATTTTTCAAAGCCAATATTCTAGTCATTTGGAGCAAAAATTCCCAAAATTCTGAGGGAAAATGGTTACTGGAAGGGCCCTGGCCTGATTTTTACGGTACCATCCAGAAAATAAAAGACTCATCTTGGGGCTTGTTTCCGCAGTTTTAAATGCCCAAAAAATGAAATGCTGACTCAAAAGTGTTAATGTGAAGCAGTACGTGTCAATATGACAAAGATTGCCTAATTCAGAATATATCCAGATTTGCTGCTCTAAAATCGCACAAGATGCCTTTAAAGGGGCATTATGCAACATTTTTGCAAAAAAAAATATTTTATTCAACAAAACTGTGATTGTAATTTTATTTCCACTTCTCAATATTTGTATGTGCAATCATCTCACATTCTGACGTTCATGGTCGGTGCTAAGACAGAGGTGCACTCAATTTGTAGTGCCACCACAAACTACCAGAGTGTAAACAAACATGGCTGACAGCTGTGTTTGTAGCTTTAACCCCAAGTCATATATTGGCACCTACACTCCTACACTGCCTGAATAGTCCTTATTTGTGTAGGATCGATTCAAATTAATTTGAAAAGAAATGAGTGAACAGAAAATTGACTTTTGTACCGTTCTAACGTTACATAATGCAGCTTTAAAACCAATAAACAGAACTGTTGATAATGGTTCGGCATCCAAGAACGTTACATACATGCATATAATGCACATAACACATGGCGGACTGGCTAAACTATAGCATCTTATTGAAAAATAATGTATAGTTGTTGTTTTACGCAGGTAATAAATAAATTTTGACTAGACACTAATGTCCCAAGGTAAAATAATAAATAGATATATAAATAAAGAAATAAATAAATACAACAATTGTACAGTGTACAACATATGGCATATATATATATAATGCTGTATACCATCAAGTATATGAGACGTATCTACCCAAAGCATATATATACAACCATTGGTGGCATTTCTAGCTTTTAGGCATTTTTAAAGATTTTGCCCCATATATGAACAATGCACTGAAAAAGGAAAGTAATGCGAATCGTTTCAAATGTAAAATCATAATAGTTTGTACCTAGGAAGGTTGTCGAAGGATAAAGTATACAAAGTGAGTATCCACAATGTTTTAATATGTACATTTATGCTATAATCGAATGCCATTGTCATATCTATAGTGTGAAAATGCACAACTTAGCTTTAGTGTATTTCTCCTCAGCATTGTTACAGCTATTGATGGGTTCTTCACAGTGGATATTGTACGTCCATGCTCACCTATCCTATTATTATTTCTGGTCACAGCATCAAATACTCTACAGCTACTATTTACATGTATTTTACTGTTGTCATATTTGTGACATGTAGATGTTTTTCCATCATATAATCTGACGCTACACACATGAAAAATTATCACAAAGCCACAAAATGAAAACCGTTTGATCATCTTTTCTTCTTCTTTGTGATCACAGCTTCAAACAAAACAAAACTGAACAACAATGAATACCGTGGACCTTATTTAGGACTTCAGATAGATTACATATTTTGATTGACCACTGAGTTTCAATGAGAGATTCCTGTTCAAAGACCGTTGCATAAAAGAGCAGAGACAAATTTGCTAAAAGGTTACCAATTCAGTCCGACCAGCGGGAGTTAAATGTTGACTAACTTCTCCCGGTTCGGTCTAGCCTCCTGCTGGGTAGAACATCCTGTTCAGAGCGCCTCTGTAGCTCTTTGATGCCGGCCGTGCGTTAACTACGTCCATTGATGTCAATATTACTCCAGACTACCCATGGTGAAGACCGTAAAGACGTTGGTATGAATATCAGAGAAGATATTTTTCGTTGCTAAGATGTGTTGTTCCGGGGCCACTTTGTGTCAATTTAAGCACATAATTAAAGTGTCGCGTTTGATATAGGACCGGCCCCAGAGCTACTAACGAAAATACAATATATCATATATATGTGCTGTTTTCACTTAGAAAATATAGAAGCCTTTATAAGTTATTTTGCGTCGGTTGTAGTTGGATATCATTATGGTACATCAATTGCTATTTTGAGATGGTTTATGGAAACATTGATAGAAATAATATCAAATTTCATGGTGCAATCTGTATGTCGCAAAGAATATTAGAATATTTTGAGGTACGAAGTTCTTACGGATGACTACTGTTGATTATTGTCCGCAAATTTCAAAAAATACGAAAAAGAAAGCATCAAGTAGTCTTTCAATAATTACTTTTCTTTCAATAAGCAATCGTGTACTTTAATCCAATATCGTATACCATGCTTCCATTTGGTTAAATGGATGCAAGAAAAACAGCATAGTAAGCTAAATAGACACGGCTATTAGCCTCCATAGCATGCCAAAAACTGGGGGGTTTTGGGGATCTTCAGGGTGTTTGGGAGCTTTTATATGTTATTTTCTGACAACATAGCCGGCCCGGTTGAATTACCCTCGTTTTTTTTTAAATTGGGCTAATCAGAAAACAGCCGAAGACCACCAAACCCCAAGTCCTATAAGCCTGCTACGGAGGCTACACGGCTATATATTGTGTAAGACGCTTTTGGTTGGAAAGTTTGGTTCCATAATAGCCGGCTTTCCGCCATCGCTGGTGCCAGCCGTGATTGGCGATGACAAACGGCAGGTCCGGACGCTCATGTCCCCGTTCTGCCCTCTTCCACCGCTTCAATAGATTCCTATTTACGGGTTAGCCCCATTTGCCGGCCACTAATTCAACCTCTACTCCTCACCGACAATCCTTTTTCATTTGCGCAAAGCGGATTGTCGGCGGAGCGACGTCCTCCCCCGCTGGTGCAGTGATGGAATATCGACGTAGTAACTGTGCCTGGTAATTGAAATAGCGTGGTTTCCGCTGACTTCTTCCCTCAGAGCGCATCAGCGCTGCACCGACACACTCACCCTCTCCAACCTCGAGTCAAATCGTCCCATTTGCAAAACCAGAGTGTTTAATGACCCTAATAACGCTCTATGCTTGGTGAAGCTGCTCGATAGATAACGACCGACAAGGAGACCTATGGGGCAGTCATGGCTATTTTTCTTTCACCTTTCTACAGTAACCACGCCGCCACTGACCTCTAGAAGTATCAATCAACTGCACATTATCCCCTAACAGTACCCCTATCCCTGAGCGGAAAAAGCGACTACGTCTAAATCTCAACAGTTTGCACTTTTGCAAGTAGGATTAAAACTCTCGCGTGGTGCCCCGAACACCCCTCACTGACGGATAGCGAGTTTTACATGCTGTGTGCCGAATTTCCTTTCACCGAGCAAACTTCCCAATTTCCGCTTATCTTCTGCTCTCTAGAAATCTGCTTTACCGCAGTGACAGCTTGTTCTCTGTGAAGTAAAATAAATGTCTCGGATTAAGATCAAGAAGCGATTGAAAAATTGAGGACATCAATT